CTTTTTTTTTTTTTTTTTTTTTTTTTTTTACAAATACATGCATTTAAAACTTCATTTAGAAATAAAATTTCTGAAATGAGATTCTGCTAATAGAATATAACAATACTCACCTTAGTTTCAAAAAGATGGTTATAGGCTGTAACCAAATGATCCTTATTAGCTGTTTTAGCTACATTTTTAATGTTTCCTAATAATTTATGCTCTGCAAGAAACTATAAGGAAAAAATACTGGTTAGTCAAAGTCATTTCACTCAAGAAGATTCTAAAATGAGAAAATAGAGCCATGTGTGGCAGTAGTGTCTGTGGTACCAGCTACTGGGAATTTGAGGCAGGAGGATCGCGCTGAGCTAGTTTAGCCTGGGTACCAGAGTGGGACCTCAACTCAACAAACAACCCCAAACCAAACCAAACCGTAAATTTAGAAAATCACCCATTTATGTTAGCAGTTACGGTTTCAATTAGTACTAATGAAGAAGTAAAATAATATTGTATTTTATAGCCTGCTTCATTAAAAATATAAGGCATTTAGATCTGTACCATTTTGTATGGGAAACAGTGGTTTGTCCTAACCCTTTTCATTTTACAGCACGCGCACAAATACACACACACACACACACACACACACACACACACACCCACCCAAAAAACAGTCACAGGAACCAAGCCAAAGGCAGCTGCTTGTGACAGAATGCTACTTGGCACTGGCCTTGGGAGCCTCCAGCCATGCTCAGGAGGATAGTTTCACTCCATAGACCGGATCCAGCTTTCCTAAAGACTCAGTTTCTAGATCTGTAGTGGAAGATTAATAACAGAATCTATGTCGAAGTGTTGCTGTAGGCTGGGTATGGTGGTGCATGCACATGCCTGTAGTCCCAGCACTCGCAAGGCTGAGGCAGAAGGATTGCTGCCCCCAAGATCAAAGCTAGCCTGAACTACATAGGGAGATCCTGTCTCAAAAAACCAAGCTGAAACAGAACAAAGTATTGTTGAAAGGATAAAATGCATTTAGCATTGAAGCCTGTCACAGCAATAATTTAATGTTAACTATTTTTTTTTTTCCTTTTTTTGTGTTTTTTTGACCAAAAAAACTATGTAGCCCAGGCTGGTCTTGAACTCACAGTGATCCTCTTGCCTCAGCCTCCTGATTGCTGGGATTACAGGTGTGTGCCACCACACCTGGCAGTGTTACCTATTTTGATTAAGAAAATAACATACTTATATTTCAAGATAAGAGTTCCTTTTCTCTCAAATATAATACTGTAAGTTGACAGATGCCCAAACACTATTATATATATTCACTTCGAAATTATGTGAAGATTTTAGTGATTTTGTCATTCTGCCTCCTTTTCTGCCACGTGCTCCTTGTTGGATTCATTCTGTCATTCTCAAATCAAAGTTGTCCTTTGCCATCTTCTAGCAATTTTTTTTCCTGTGGTTCTGGGGGTTAAACCCAGGGCTGTGATAATGCTAGGCAAGCATTCTGCCACTGAGCTGCAACCTACCCCTTAAGTTTTGGGATGGAGTTCTGAAAAGTTGCCCACGCTGGCCTTGAACTTGGGATCCTCCATCCTCAGTCTTGTAACTGTGACTACAGGTATGTGCCACTGTACCCAGCTTCTACATTTTTCTAACACAGTGTTGCCTTTTACCCTCTTTGCTTTTTTTCTCCCCTTTTAAGAGAAGTGTTCTAAAGACCAGTTGAATACAGGAGTTCATTACATAAAATTAATCAGCTGAGTCAGCTCTCAAGTTTAGCAAGCTCTTATGAAAATATCTCAAATATAAATATCTCTTTGATATCTTATGATCAATAAGGGCTGGCAGCTGTATGTAGTGGCACATCCTCCTAATCTCTGCACTGTGGGTGGCTGGGGCAGGAGGATTCTAAATTCCAGCCCAGCTTAGAGGTTAAAGGTTAAACTGAGTATGCACTTCTTTTGTTAAAAATATGCTATGATAACCCAAGTCTTAAGTCTTACCACTCTGGCCAGTTTTACATTATAGTTTACTTCGGGATGATTTGTAAGAATTTAATAAAATATAGCATTGAAGCACTGAACATTGATTATTTCAGGCAAAATACATATTGGTTTAAGACAGTAAGTAATTCCATTAAATGGTAGTCGATCCTGATGCATAGTTTTTTTTTTTGTATCCCGAACCACTGAGCAAGTTCTTGCTAGTAGTTTGTATAAATATTTGCTCAATTAGTCTTAAGATATGGATGCCAGGATAATTATGCACATGTAAGGAAGTGGAAGTTGCAGTTTCCTGTATCTCCCCTTCAAGATCCTCCTAAATCAAAACAGTCCCAAGAACCCAGGACCACTTCTGCTTAAATCAATACAATACTGACTTAAGTATGTAAATGGTCATCGGAGAAAACACTGAAATGATTAATATTTTAGAATTATAAAAATATTTGCTAGTTAAGAAACGATAGAAAATCCACATGCAGGCTGCTGATTCTATTTCTTGTGGATGAAAGATGCTGTGTGCATAGGAGTTCAGCAATTTAAGAGAGGTACGAAATAGGTCTGACAAAAATAACTTGTGACTACAGACGAGGGGTTAAGATGGAGACTGTACCGAGAAAGGCCGGGCGCGTGCACAACATGACGATCGCCACATGCACTTCTTAGCGGATTGTTCATAACAATGGGAGGCCGCCGTGCAAGAGATGCACGTGCAGCTCCCTCAGTATAAAGGCGAAATGGTCATTTAAACCGTAACATCCACGGGATTTCGAAAAGAACCACTCGGATTAAGGTTGGCTCTTTGGTAAATCGGCGAGAAGGACAGCGACACAGGCCGTCCCCACGGTTCTCGCAGCCTCCCTCCTCGTCCCCAGAGCCCCCCGCACTGCTCGCGTCTCCTCCAGCCGCCCTCCAGCCCCCTCCTCGGCCCCCTCCGCCTCCGAGGTCCTTTTCTCACAGCCTCC